CACTTTGAAATGTAAATATATTATTAAAATTTACCAATCAAACGTTTTTGTGCACGCTTACCTAATTTACCGCGCAGATGTGCATAGAATATGTTTGCGCGCGCAAGCATTGAAACTTGTTGATCAAGGTCCACAAATAAGACAACATTTCCTTGTTTCCTCTTGCATTTCCTTTCCGTCTTTCCCTTCATGGACATAATGACATGTTTGAGGAACATGCAATTTCAAAACTGAAGGGCTCAATAGAAATGCAAAAGGTGACTTTGGAATCTGATGCTCGAATTTGCAATGTTATCAAATTGTCGATACGGGCAGTCGAACTTCGCCCAAGTAAAAATATCTCTATTCGTAGCTAATTAGTATAGGTAATCGTGAAAATGCGAGCGTAATTAGGGATTTACGCTATACGAGTGATATCTGAAAATTCTAAAAATCACGCGAGCCTTAAGGCCAGTGCAATTTGAAAGGTTTAAAATCCTTAACTGCTCGAGCTTTCATGCGATCGATCACTCGCATATTACATGACTGAAAAAATTACAAACGAGGGTGCATAAATTTGTAATGCAGTGAGAACTGAAAATTAACGATAACTTTGCTTCCTCTCAGCCGATCACAATCAATTTATTTTTTCATGTTACATGATGTATAAATCAAACACGGGAGACAGTAGTCCATCACATTTTAAAAACCGAGAAGAGAGTTGAAAATGCCACAAGCAGTGGAGTATTATTGAAAAAAAAATTCGACATATTCCTGTTTCTCGGAAACAGAAAAAAAAAAAAAACGTTTCTAATCAAAGCTTTTCGAAAATATTTTTGCTTCCGACGTCTTTATTTACCCCACCCATAGCGGAGAAACTCTTTCTGGACAATCTTCTCTCGCAAAGCCAGAATTCCGTGTTCTCTCTCAGAATTCTCCATATACCTTGTGGCGTTTTGCCCAAGATAAGAATTTGAGGCGAAAACAAGAATTTAGTTTAAATGAAACAAGCTGAGTAAATTTTCCTTTTTTGTTTTCATGAAAATAGAAAACAGTTCATTTTTTCCAGAAACGTATTCCGCATTTCTTTTGTATAATGCATTAACTATCGTTCTGTGGGTGAAGTGGCAATTTGTTTATTTTAAGGGTAATAAAATCGTGTAAAAGAGATTATTTTCATCTGAAAAATCTAAGATTAAAACGGACAAATATTTGTGTTATATTCGTAGACAAAGGGAAACTATTTCTATCGCACTTTCTTATGTAGGCCTGTCAGTTACTTTTCAGAAAACAAATTTTTACAGCGGAAATCAAGTTAAAAGGCAGCATAAAAAGGTGCATTTGCACAGAAAGAAGACACGTATCAGCAGATGCTAGATAAGGAATTGGTACAATAATGTTTGATTACAAAGAGCGCGCTATAGGTCAAGAGTTTTTTGGTTGATGAACAGTATTTCTTGCAGTCAGAGGTTATTTTAATCGCTAGTTTCTAATTTCATCACCTTTCACAAGCAAACATTTGCCCCAAACGTAACAAACAAATACTCCTAATGGAATTTTTAGAAGCAAGAATCTTCTTAGAACTTTTTTGACAACTTAATGGCTTTTGCTTTAATCAGGACAATGAACAATTAATACAAAGCGTTCTGTGTTCTCACAAAGTCAGCCATAAAGAGTTAGCTTCACAGCTCAGGGGATCAAAGGATCTCATTAGAAAGAAACGGCAAAGCTTTGCTTGCCAGCTTGGTGAAAATTTGACAAATCTTTCAATCTGCAGTTTTCGTCAATTTTCTTGACACAAAAATGAAACTAAACGATTCAAATATGTTAACGTTAAGAATTGTGGCTGTTGTAGTCTTAACATCAGCTGCAAAATGCATCTTTGGGGAATTTCCCATCCCAGTTGGTTTGTATGCCAAACAGTTTATGATTTGTGCTTTTGCAAGCCACGTAGAAAGTGGTTTGAAAGTTGGAAATACCAAATTTTATCTTTTTCCCGAATCAGAGACAAAAGGCAGTGACTTTATTGTGAAGTTTCAAGGTAAAATTGTCAGCTGGAAAAACCTTATGGAACTGCTCCGCCAGCAAAACTTCACCGTACCAGATGAAAGGAGTGTTCTTGCTGCAGTGCATCGAGAGAAGGGTTCTCGGGATCAGTCGTGTAAACACAGATGTTTCTTGGATGAAAGAAGATTTCGTTCTAGGACTTGCTTCTGTGACAAGGCTTGCAGCACATTCGGGGATTGTTGCTTGGACTTCCATTTAAGGTAAGGCTTAAGAAGCAGCCATCCAAACTAGGATTTCCAAATGAAAAGAATTCCTTAAACCTTGCCCGTA